GCAGAGCAACAGCAGCACCACCTATGGGTATGGTGAAGGGTTGCAGACAGCAACAAAAGAGACCCCTGACTGGGCATGGCAGTCTGGGGTACAGGTGGGGAGGGAGAAGCATGGCCTCTACCCTTCAAACCTCTCAGTTACACAACACCCAGGCTAAAAGAATAAATTGTATATGGCTCCCCTGGGAAGGCAAGGACATAACAAGGTAAGGGAGGGAAGACAGAGAACTCCTGGCTTTTTCCAATGCAAGGGGCCCTCCCCTTCAGAATTCAGGCAGTAGGAAGGAGAAGGGTACGAAAAAGGAGGAAAGCCAGGTACTCAAAGGAACGTGAGTGCCTGCTTCTTCTTTCATTAGTTGGAGAAAGGATTTTTATCTTCATTTCTAAGTGATTTTCTTTCCCCACTGGATGTGGGAGAGTACAGCTCCCTCCCTGGGGCAATGAATGCCCCGCACTCAGCTGCTTCCTCCCAGCATGGCCTCAAAAACTCCCAACCACCATTAGAAACCCCCAGGGAGCCACCAAGCTCTGAGAAGGAAAGGAAAGGAAGGGTCCCCCCCACCAGCCAAACAGACCAAGTGGGAGAGGACAGGGTAGAGAGCATGAAAGAGAGAATGCAAAAGCTCTGCAGAGGGAGGGGAGAGGGAAATGTGATCAGTAGTATTTGTTGTGCTTCCAGGGAGAAAGGATCCGTCACATTTTTAATAATAATAAATACATGAAGACAGATTTGCCAGCACTGCTCTGGCTCCTTGGGAAGTGTGGGGGAGGGGAGCCAATGCAGCTGCAGCACAGACCAATATATCTCCCTCCCCTCCCCCATTAGATAGGCTCAGTATTGCAGCAGCCTACCCCTCCCCCTCTAACCGCAGTCCTCCCCTTCACAGCCCATCCTTTCCATAGTTCCTTCACAGAGCTCTGCCCCACACTCCCCCCACTCCCTCTAATCCTACTGTATCCTTTCAGCTCTGGTCCTCATTTAACACTGCCTCGATGTAGCTTGAAGAAGTCCTAGTACCCACATCTTAGATCTGCTCCCCAAATCCTGAAGGCCCACTCTTTTTTGCCAGTTCCTTTCACTAACAGCAATCTTCCCCCATACAACACTTCCACAGAAGGAATACAGCACATTAAAAGCATTTCCTGGATTCTACCAAAAGGGATTGCTTTTCTCCCCATTTTTATCTCAATGTGACCTCCTTTCTCATGTCCCTCCTTAAATATAATGGCCATCAAATGTGCTTGTGTTTAGGGGGTGTCAGGGCCTCAGGACTCGGTGACTACTGCCACCTATTGACCCAAATTTGTTCAAGATAGACCTTTAATACACTTCTTACACGGCGACACTCTGTTATTTCAAAAGCATCAATAGCTTAAACATGCAAAGGCATGGCTCTTGGGGCTTCTCTGAGACCCTCTGAACAATAAGATCAAAGACATACAAAAGCAAGACTGGGCAGAGAGCCAGAGTAATGATGCCTTTCCCCACACAGAGGCAGAAAAAGAGGCCCAAGGAATAAAAAAGCAATTTTAAGTCTCCTCAAGGGTCTCTAAGCAAAGGACAGTAGGGGAAAGAGTTTTCCTCAAGGATTGGTAAAAATTTTGCGCATCGTAATATGAATGATGTCACCAGTGGAGCAGAATGCAAGATTCTACCCATATGCCTCCATTCGAGTTGGCCAAATTGTTGCCATGAATCTGGGGTTTACAGACCTAATAGATTCCAGAGAGGACAGGGGACATTCAGGAGTGTGGTTGACTCTCACCCAATCTGTACCAATCAGAACTGAATACTGGACAGATAAATTGAACTCTGAAAATGGACAGGTCTATACCACGCAGCTGAGTTGGTTTAGCTATGTACCGTCCACCAACCCAAGGCAAGGAATGAGGAGAGCTTGAACTCTCCATGGTGCTGAAAACAGATACACTGTAATCAGGTCATCTCATCCTCATAAACAAAACGTATCTTTTCTAGTAAGGTATCTATGAAGACTGTTGTGAACTGTTGTGAACCACGCCCGGCCAAAATCCTAAAATTCTTAGTTCCTTTGCTCTACTACCCTAATAGTGGTTCTTGAACTATGTTCTGAGGAATTCCAAAGGTTCCTTGGAGCACCTCAGGAATCTTGAGAAAAGGGATCATAAGAACATGGAACTTCAGGACTCCTCAATTCCCACTTCAATCAAAGTAACCCCACTTATGCCTGTTTTAAATATTGAGAATCCGGCCAGGTACGGTGGCTCACACCTGTAATCCCAGCACTCTGGGAGGCCAAGGTGGGAGGATCATTCGAGCTCAGGAGTTCGAGGCCAGCCTGAGCAAGAGCAAGACCCCATCTCTGCTAAAAATAGAAAGAAAATTAGCTAGACAACTAAAAATATATAGAAAAAATTAGCCGGGCATGGTGGCGCATGCCTGTAGTCCCAGCTACTTGGGAGGCTGAGGCAGAAGGATTGCTTGAGCCCAGGAGTTTGAGGTTGCTGTGAGCTAGACTGACGCCACGGCACTCTAGCCCGGGCAACATAGTGAGACTCTGTCTCAAAAAATAAATAAATAAATATTGAGAATCCATGTAAAATTCTGTCAAACAATACACTCTAAAGAGTGTTTGATGACTCTAGTACAAATATTCTCCGAAATAATTCAACTTTTTGTTAGAAATCTCTTTCAAATAGTGCCTAAAAGCCAGGGAAAACAAGATGCCATGGGATTAAAGACTTAATTGAATTAATGTAAGATCCACAAAGGCAGGGATTTGCCTGCTCTGTTGACTGCTATACCACCAAGAGGTCAAAACAGAGGAATTGTAGTTTCTTTGAAAGCAAGGCCTTTAACAGAAACGGGGCAGTAGGGATGGGGGAACTAGTGGTCATAAACTACCTACAAATATTTTCTAAAAAGAAAAAAAACACCCCTGATGATTTTCACAAATCCCAGAACACTTGAAGTCCTCCACCATCAGCATTCCCCAAGCACTGGTTCTCCAACTTATTAGCTGTTTTGACCTTAGACAAATTGCTTACCCTCAGCTTCCTCACTAGGAAAATGGAAATGTCATAAATTTTGTAAAGGAGTAGCACTTCCTTTCCCCTGGTAGTTCCCATAATCCAAAAGTCTTAATAAATTACAAACAAATGCAGTAGTCCTAACTAACAAGCAAATGTGGTGGTCCCAACTAAAGCATTTTTGAGCTGAACCACTCGAAGTTAGTTCGGCCAGAGAGGAAAAAAAATTTCTAAATTTCTTGTGGCGTTTTGTAGATTTACTTGAGGAAACATAAGTATGAGGGTCCAGGGCATGTTAGGCTCCCTCAGATCTACCAGGGACTAAAAGTTAGAGGTACCAGAAGTAAGCCCATCTTGATGTCACTCACAAAAGCGCTAGGCTCTTTGACTTGGGAGAGAATCTCAGAGATTCAGTTTAATATATTCATTCTCAAGCTGAGGAAAAGTAAAGGCCAGAGATAGCAAGTGATCTGCCCAAAATCAGAGTTAGCAGAAGGCATCCAGAGGTCCAGTCTCCCAACTACTTTCTACCAGGCTGCAGCTGACTGAAAAGAGACTCCTGCCCCAATCAGGCAGACTAAAATAAATCCAAATTCATAGATTCAGAATCAACAAGGTTTTAGTGACATAATGACCCAAACCAGGAATGCTAGACACTAAAATCAGATGTTCGTGAGAGTCAAAGCCTTTTAAAAAACTCCAATGGGCTAGGTGGGCACGGTCGCATGAGCCTATAGTCCCAGGAACCTGGGAGGCTGAGGCAGGAGGATCATCGAGCCCAGGAGTTTGAAGCTGCAGCGAGCTATGATCGCATCTGTGAATAGCCACTGCACTTCAGCCCGGGAAACATAGCAAGACCCTATCTCTTAAAAAAAACAACAAGAAAAACTCCAACAGATTAACTCTACACTTAATGTCTCTCTCTTTTTATCCCTCGTTTCACTTGCTGTATTATCCAAAGCCTGTGGGATCTCTCACCAACAGAGGTTATTCTCTGGACAGAATTGTAAGATCTCAAATATGTAACTCCCACCAGTCTCCTGACTTGGGTTTGGCTGATATTTCTGTGGGATTTTCATTGTTTTGGCTGTCAAGCTATGAATTTTCTGTCCACCTGCTTATTGATATTCTTTTGAAAACTCTTCATAAAGGGCTGGCCCTTACTGTCTCTGGTAAACCGTGACCTTAGTTAAAGGAGGGTCAAAGATGCTGAAAAACACAAGACTATACTGACTCTTCACTCTAGCCTTCTCATTCACTCTACTATTCTCTACAAACTCAATCAGTAATTGACCAAAGATCAGTCCTATGTTCATGCTATTTTAGAAAGAAAAGAAAAACATTCAGACAAGTGGAGACAAAATAACTCTTGCTGATGTGGAAAGGTTCTATCTTGCTTTTGATTATAGCCAAGCTCCAAGGTTTCCTGAACCATTAATGCCACCTGGTGGCCAGGCCAGATATATTAATAAAACCTAAAATCCATGTAGTTGAGATACCTATATTGCATTGTTAACAAATCATACCGGAAGTTGGGGCAATGTAGGTTGGAAGAGTTGATTATACTATTCTAAAAAATGTTGAGAATATTTTTTATAAAATAACCAATTTCTAGTTTCTAAAATATATTATCAAAGAAAACTATATAAAGCCAAACTTTTCACACTTCCAAAAACATCTCATCTTTTCCTTTTCACTCACTCACCAAAAACACCCCACACCGGCGATTCCAGTTATACAATACATGTGCAAAGGGGGCTTTAATTCGTTAAGTAAAATCAGTTTTATTAGTAAGGATCTTTCCATATGTCCGAAGCAAACAATTAATGAATTCCAAGGAAAAACCTACATATGATGAAATTAGAAGTATCCCAGGATGACAAAAAATATATATAAATATGTACACCCAGAATCACCGCCGCCTCCGAAAACCTGAAAGGAAGGGAAACCAAGAATGAGCCAAAGGACAGTAGGAAAAGCTGAAGGGACAGGAAAAAAGGACATCTAGAGAGAAGGGCTCAACAGAAGTGGGTGTCCCAAGCAGTACTCTCTACCTTCCCAGCACGTAAGACTAGAAGAATGAAATTGAAACGGGATAATGGGCCCTTCAAGTGACACTTTCATAGTTCTATTTAAGGAAGCCTTAACAGGAGCTGTGGGACCATAGAGATGGATTCCAACGATCCCTTGTGTCAATGATGCTGATTTCCAGCTTAGGCAAGGAGAAAAATAAAAGCCCACCTACGGAGATTCTTGCCCAGTACAGAAGCAAATCCTGAGTCCCAATTCATATTCCTCACCTTGCACTTGATCACCTAAGTCCTAGCAGTTCGCTCACCTTTTTTCTTCCCACCTTTCTTAGGTATCTTCTTCCGCTTCTTAACAGGATTGTGATCCTGCAGACAGATGGAGAAGTGAAGGAAAGGCAGTGTGCTTCCCAAATGTCAGCATCCCTTCCCCTGTTCCTCACAGTAATAAGCCCCACATACACTTGGCTGCAAGCATAAAGGTCACCTCCTACTACTGTATCTCAATCTCACCTCATCAAGATGAGCAGTCCCTCCTGTCAAAGCACTGATGTCACTGAAGTGCGTGAGGGAATGAAGTTGTGAGCTCATGGCATTTGCTCGTTTCCGTCGTCCTTTCTCTCGTTTACTGACACTCAAACGCACCATCATGCTCTCCTCGTAGTTAATCCTGCCGGAGAAAACAGACACTGTTCACAGCAAGCTCAGACCACAGAGATGGAAAGCTCCAGCCCAGAACTTGGGCTCAGGTATTTACTCATCCCTTGTTCAGAGAATTCCCAAGAAGTTTCATAGCAGATGAACATTGTATTTAGTACCAATTTACTGAATGCTCAATAAGCTTCCTCAATGAAATGATCTCTATGCTGGAACTTCCCTCATCCCAGAGATAAACCCATAGCACATCCACAGTACTATTAATATTTAAAACATTTTACCAAAAAAATTCATATTTAAGCTCTATAAACAAGATTACCTAAATGGGCCCTTTCGTGCAAATCCATCAACTATAGACTGCATCCGAGCAAAGTTGATGAACATATTCGAGTTACAATTCCTTTTCTACTTTCCTTCCCTGAACTTATCTAGCTCTCTCGGTGCTATCATAAAAAAACCTGCCTTTATTGCTCTCTACACAAAAGTGGGAACTGTGACAGTGAAATATAGAATTTTAAAGTCACACTATGTGAATCTGTATACATTCCTCTTCGTACAGCTTTTGCTTCAGCCTAAACAGTTGGGAAAAACAAAACATTTTTATCAGTTCCTATTCTGTACTTCAAGCTCCTAACTCATAGAACTATCATCTCACATTTTTTTACTCCACTTTCTACATAACGTTGGTTCTCTTGGTAGCAAGTTTAATCACATTCACCTAAAGTATGAGGACCACGCTCCACAGCATAGAAATAATTTCTAATTGCAAGGGCTCAGACCTGTGTTGGTCCTCCTGACTCTGGCGAGTAACATGAGGATGCCGAGCATCACGGATTTCCTCCGGTGCATCTGAGTACTGCTCCTTAAGTTCACGAATGACAGAGCTGCTCAATGCCCGTCTTTTGGCTCGTTCTAGACGCTTCTTCTCCCGCTCAGCTTCTGTTTCGTCTATACGATAAAAATCAGCAGGTGTTATCCCAGAAGAGAGAAAATGCAAAGAGAAATAATTCATGTTGATGAGGCAGCAGCCACAACTCATACCATAATGTACTGGAACCAAGCGTGGTGGAACATATTTCTTAGATACTCCTTTTACAGATTTCTTCCCTGAAGCCTCAGACTGGCCATCCTCTGCTTCGTCTTTTTCCTCATCCTCAGAGCTCAACTACAAAAGGAACATAATCTCCACAAACTTAGGAAGCATTAGACAGACATGGGAGAAGAAACCCAAAAGCTGGAGTACCCTGAGGAGGTGGGAATATAAATAAAAGAGAGAAAAGGGAATCTCATACTCAGCCTTCTAAGGCACAAATTGGAAAATCATGTCATAAGAGAATCCTAGAAGATTGAGGATCACCACAAGGCCCATTCTAGACCCATCAGGAAAAATCAGGAGGCTAATGCAACCCTTACCTTGCTCATCATGTTGCTGGGATGAGGCTTAAAACGAAGTGGATCATTCTCACTAAGGCTGCCTGTCACTGCAGTCTTGACCAATTTGTCAATTTGATACTTCAGTTTTTGGTCCAATGGACGAAGCTTTTCCAAAACCTACAATGTGGTAGTTAAATGTGATTACATCCCCTTCCCCAAATCAAACATACACCAGAGTCCCTATATTAAGGCACCAGATAAGGCATAAAGTAGAGCAAATGAAGAGAAAAATACTTTTTTTATTTGGTTTCCTTACTTTAACAAGAGAATACCCACTTAAATGAGAGCTACCATGTGACAGCCTTGGAGTTGAAGATTTAGAAACCTGCTGGGCATGGTGGCACACACTTGCAGTCCCAGCTACTTGGGAAGCTAAGGTAGGTGGATCACTTGAGCCCAGGAGTCCGAGACCAGTCTGGTAACATAGTGAGACCCTCATCTCAAAAGAAAAAAAATTTAGAAACCTAAAACTCCAACATGCCAAATGTTTCATACCGTGCGAATCTCCACCAGTCTCAAAACTGCAGCATGTCCCTTAAGAGACCCTCCAGAGGCTTTGTCCAGGATAAGGTGGCTCAAATCCATAAGGTACATGAGCAGCAGCTGATCTTTCACTTCCAAGAAGCTGAGACCCTGAGGTGAACAAAACAGTAAGAGATGCAGATTTGGTTTTAGCCAAAGAATCTGGAAGAAGTCTTGGACAAATAGGATGTTTTTTCTAGTTTCCCCCAATCAGTTCATATAAGGTATCTGGAGTAGTCTCAAGAAGTAGCTATATCTAAGATGGCCAAAGGAGAAAATTATGCTAACACAAGAAGCAAACTCAGAGAATTAATGGAAGGACAATAAGAACAAGAAAAACCCATAAAATATATCTCCAAAAAAGACTTATAGCAGGGTTTCTCAATCTCTGAGCTATTGACATTAGAGGCCAGAAAATTCTTTGTTGTGGAGGGCTGTCCTGGGTATTGAAGGTTTTCAGCACCATCCTTGGCCTCTACCCACTAATGCCCAGTCCCAAGCTGTAACAATTAAAAATATCTCCACACATCACCAAATTTTAAATTAATTTAATCAAAATAATTACTGATTTTTATCCCCATACAATGGACTTACATGATACAGGTAAAATGAATGATTTATATGTACTGATATGAAATGAAATCCATGTCAATACAAGTTGTAGAAGGTGTATATAATATGGTTCCAATTGTGGGGGGCATGGGAGTATGATGCACACATTTTTATATGCATAGAAAAACGTCTGGAAGCAGGAAAGGCAAACCCATACAAAAAAAGAAAGAAAAAAAATGTCTGGAAGATAACACACAATTAACTGTTACCCCTAGGAAGTGAGATGAGGAAAAAGAAGAAATGGAGTACTTGTATTGTGAAAGGTATTTTTCCAACAAGTGAATATTACTCTTATAATTTAAAAAGATCTCAAAAAGAAAAACGTATCCCAGTGGTTATCTCAGAGTGGTGATTGTACTGATGTTTCATTTTCTTGTCTGTGCTTTTATGTATCTTCCAAACTAAGATTAGAAAATGTATCACATTTATGGGCAGAAAATCAAGCAAATGCTATACATTTATTTTTTTAAACAAAAGAAAGTAACACATGTACCCACTGACTTAAGTTATAGTTGTTAAATAAAACAAATGCGTATTGTGACTGCATAAAATCAAACTGACCAAGTCCACAGCCTTGGGAAAATCTATTTCAGAGAGGTAAAATACTTTGGCCAAGATTACACAGTAACAGGAATATAGCTGGAATTCAAACTCAGTCTGACTTTAACACCTAAGCCCTGGGTATCTTTAAACCAACATGCTAAGTTCTTGAGAGCAACACTAGTGTGGTATAGAAGGAAAGTAAAAGGTTTAAAGCCAGACAAATTAAGTTCTGAATTAGGCATTTGGTAGTCAAATATTGGGCAAGTCACTCAACCTTGTGACCTCATTCTCCTTATCTGTAAAATATGTATAATACTCCCTTCTTTCCACAAAGAATAATTATGAGGCTCAAATAAGATAATGTGGAAGCACTTTGTAACCAGTAAAGCACCTAGTAAAAATCTTTGGTCATAAAAGAGAAGTCAATAAATATCTGTCCAATAAATAAACAAATATATAGCGATCTAAAAAACATGCTGGCAGTCCACCTGTCTCAAAAAGGCCAATGGATCACATCATGGTACGTAGGACAAAGACAGGTAAGAATTTGAAGAGTAGGTTCTTCTGACATACTTGGGCATTGTCAAGTTCAAATTGGGTTACAAGGGTACGACAGGAAAAAAAAAAGATTTAAAAATAAGAAAAAATAAAAATAGACAATAAAAACAAAAGTGAATGATGACAAAGAAAAGGCAAAAAGAGAATATATTAAAAATGCTGTTACTTATCTTTCTAAAAGCACAAATCTGCTGTAACTCCCATGCTTAAAAATCTTTCAGTAATTCTTATTATAATAATTTCCATACTTTTGCTTACTTATGGAATATTTTGCTTAAGTGATATCTTATGACAAAAGCTCAATATATAAAACAGATAATACCAAAGTTTTTCAGTTCAAGCAGGAATAAGAGGTCTAGAGTCTCCCTTTTATATTGCTCCACACCAATGATCCCTGAGAAGGTTCTTCCAGACCCTAATTTGAAAACTTCAATTTTAAGATGCATGCTGTTCTCATATTTTAACATCTCTTAAATCAAGATGCATCTTTCAATCAATGGTATCTTAGCATTATGTCTTAGATGAAGAGGCAACATGTTTTCTTAGTATATAAATTAAATGGTATGCCACAATTAGTAGCGTCTTAGATTAGATGAAATACGAAAGTAACTCCTCAGTTGGCCTACAATGCTCCTCACAGAGTGACTACTTTTCCAGTCTTAATTCCTACACATAACACAAAGTGTATATCCAACCACAAAAATGACTTATCTCCTTTCCCACAATGTCACCATGCTTTTAGGTCTTTGTGCTTTTGCACATACTGTTTCTTTCTGGCCTTCTGACTCCTATTTATTCCTCAAAATTCTATTACCTCCTCTGAGAAGCTCTGCCTGACTACCTCTGCTCCTCTGGCAGTTAATTCAACTCTCTCCTCAGCTAGCACATCGTTCCTCATGACTCTGTAAGTGATCACTACTAATTACATCTATTGCTTCGATCTGTCTTCCCCCGCTAAACTCCAGCACAGAAACTGGATCTCATTCGTCTTTGAAGCTCTAGTACTTACAACATATAAGATACAGTAAATCTACAATGGAAGAACTAGTGAGAATGTGAAGTTAGGGGATGCTTACACTTTAAGTACATCTTACCCTCTCCGTAGGATAGGCTCCGGCTTGGACTTTTTTTGTCAGTGTTTGCACTTGTGCAGTTACAGCCATCACCTGAAATTAGCCCAAATAAAACAGCTGTTTAGACTACAGCAAGTCATGTCTGTGAACTGTGAAGGGTAAAAGCTGAACAACGCCACCTAAAAGTTATATGAAACATTGAAGTATAGTACTCTCTTTTCAGTTCTGGGAAAGTAGTGGAGAGATGGCACTTCAAAAGCCAGAAAAAACTTTCCACTTCTTGTTAAAGAAGAAACGACCTTTACCAAAGGATGAGGAGGGGATGAGGACTGAGACAGTGGTGATAGGAAGACTGGAACTTTATCTGTACTGGCTGACCTTACAATGCATAGAACTACAGACGGTCCCTGACTTAGAAAAGTTAGACTTATGACTTTACAACTTTAAGAGAATTTGAAAGCAAAACACATTCGGTAGAAACCTTATTTCTCATGATGCTGGGCAGTGGCAGCAAGCCAAAGCTCCCAGTCAGCCACTTTCGACTTCTGATATTTTCAATTTACATTGAGTTTATCAGGATGTAACCCCATAATAAATCGAGGTGCACCTGTATATAAACATATATTAGCTGGGCACCCAAAGGGCAAATCATGTCACCATTCCCAGCATCGGTCTTCCTAGCTCTAAGAGTAAAGGAAAATGATTCAGATGATTTCTTTTTATAGTTTTCTATATTCCTTGCAGAAATCAATTACTTTGAATTCTGGCCTGAAAGAATTTTCATTAAGTCATTTTACTCTTACAGTATTTGGTAGCATTCATATATCTGCCCCCAATTCATCAAAGTTTGAAGGTGAGGCACACAAAGTCAAAACCAATCCGTGACTAATCTATTCCAAAGGGCTGACACTACTCACCTGCTCCTGTAGGTTTTTCAAAAGTGTCACAGCATTTGGCAGGTCTGACTCCAGCATATCCTGAAGAATGAGCAGGAAAAGTAGAGAAAAGTCATTATTTCCTCAGGGTTGAAAAGGCGTAACGTCTGGGATGGGAAACTCCCCTCTTTTCTTCAGACACACCAGGCTTGGGGCCTTCTCATTCCGGTGCACATGCAGCCTCCCCTAAAAGCCAGCCTCTGTGGTTACTGGGGAGGAGCGGTAACTCCCGGCCTGTCTCCCTACTGTTGCTTTTGTCCCGCTGTGTCAGGGAAGCCACCTCCCTGAAGCAACTTCCATCACCGCTCTTCCTTCGTGCCAATAGTTTGCCTCAAGCCGCTGAGAGGAAAGACAATGTCCATAACAGCTAAGGGAGGAAGATTCCACGATAAACTCACCTGCGCCGCCATCTTCGCAAGGCCCGCCCCTTCCGGGGCCGAACTTTCTTAGCGCCAACGTTGACTTGATAGACAACTACCGCTTGCAAATCTAAGCCAATAGGAGTAGGGACTCTTTCACTTCCGTCCTGAACAGGATAGACGAGAGGAGGAGTCTGATTTGGCCAATGGAATAAAGGAACTGGCTAAATTCGTCAGATTTGGGAGGAGCTCTAATGGCGTAAAGTTGCGCTTGGAAAGAAGCATATGGTTGGTAGCTTGAGTAGAATGATTGAAGTTTAACTAATAAAAGATGAGCAAATGATTGACTGAAAGTTAGAAGGGCCAATGGAAAAAAGCAGTTAGCGGAGCGAACTGAGAGCGCATTGGCTCCCGGATGCCGCAGTGCCCAGTGTCTTTTTCACGACGTTTACCTTGTAGTGCCCGAACCCGCCGCTAGGTGACGGGCCTCGGCTTCGCTCTGAGGTACCCACGTTGCGGAATCGCCATTGCTGGCTGCTCCTCCAGCGAGGGCAGCTCGCGATTCCTCACAGATGCCGTGGTCCTTAGATCGATTCTGTGACTGTACTCCTTGTGTGATCATGGACAAGTTACTCAGTCTCTGAGCCTTTTTCATCTGTAAATAAGAGAGTTGGGCCAGAGAAGCCCAGAGCCGGGGTTTAGAAACAGATTACAAGGACCCCTGACCTCTTCATGCGCACCGGAGGGCGCTGTGAAAGCCTCCAGATGCGGCCCCGACACTCGACACTCGTCTCTCCTACCCGTTTGGGGACAAGAAAGGGAATACGTTTTGCAAATGAGGAAACAGTTCATATTTAAATGACTTGCCCCTGGTCACACAGGTCCGCTACAGAACTCGGTACAAACCGAGGCTGTGCATATTTCACTATGCCCCGCCTCATCATTTCTCAATACTTTAAAATATGTCACCTCTCTCTGGCTTCTCACAGGCTGGTGAAGTAAGCTGGATGGGTATTAATTGTCCCCATCATCTGCCTTAAGAAATAAAACATCAAAAGGGCAAATGATGATCTTGAATTTTTACCTGCAATGGCCGAGCTGACCTGGGACTGGAAATCAGATCCCCTAATGTGAAGCTGTCTTATAGAGCGAAGGAAAAAATAACCCCGGTATCTTGGCAGCTGAGGTGGAAGAATCCAGGTTTCTAAGTCTTGCTGGACTCAAGAAGAAGAAAAGAGAGGGTATCCAGTACCTACTCTGACATTTATTTGCTACTTCAGGCCCAGCTCTGGAAGCTCAGGATGCTGTAACAGCATGCTTAGTCAATGTTTATGAGGATTTGTATTGTGAAAAGTTTCTATTTCAACGTAAATTCTCATACCTATCTAGTTAGATCACAAATAAGTTTTTCCTTTTCTTGGAACTTGGAATCTAATTTGTTCATGTGGATTATTATATTAGTGAGAAAACATTACACTGCCTTGTTTTAGTTTTATTTTATTTTTTATTTTTTTTGAGGCAGAGTCTCGCTTTGTTGCCCGGGCTACAGTGAGTGCCGTGGCGTCATCCTAGCTCACAGCAACCTCACACTCCTGGGCTCAAGTGATCCTCCCGCCTCAGCCTCCCAAGTAGCTGGGACTACAGGCGCGAGCCATCATGCCCACCTAATTTTTTGTTTCTTTTTTTAGTTGACTGGCTAATTTTTTTCTATTTTTAGTAGAGACGAGGTCTCGCTCTTGCTCAGGCTGGTCTCGAACTCCTGACCTCAAGTGATCCTCCTGCCTCGGCCTCCCAGAGTGCGAGGATTACAGGCATGAGCCACCACGCCCGGCCTTGTTTTAGTTTTGATTGATAAAATACTTGGCAACTGTAAGGGCAGAAAGGTGTGATACCTTTCCTCACCCATCATAAGGGTCAGGGCAAACACTCCTATAACAATAGAGAGATTCACAAGAGAAAAGCATAACAAATTTACTTAATCAAAATTTTATGTGATAAAGGAGCCTTCAGAATTGAAGATCCAAGGACCCAGGAAAAACTATCCATTTTTATGCTTAGGTTGAGTGAAAAATGGACAGCATCTAGAAATGTGATTGGACGAAAAGGGTATGACCTGATAGTAATAGACCGAGGGGGGAACCCAGCAAGCCCTGTCTGTTAAGATTTTTCTTGGCCTCTCTGTGTAACAATCTTTCCTCCCAGAGACAGGGCAGGACCCCTCTGGAATGAAAGTAGTGGGTCTTATGACCTACTATCGGATGAGGTAGGTCAGAAAATTTCTTTATGGCCAGCTCTTACACAGAAAGGCTGGGGAAGGTTAGAGTAATATGTCTAGGTTTTATGGCTGGTTTCGGGGAGAGGGGTTCTAGTTTCTATGACCTGCCTTGGGGGAGAAAGAAGGGCAAGAGGCAGGAGGGCAGGAGAAGGTCAGAGAGAGACTTTACCTCTGAGGCTGCTTCTAAGGTCTTCCAATCTCCTTTAGTTCAAAGTACTCAATATGCCCAAGTGTCATACTTTGGGGTATCATTTTCTGAGCCCCAACACAACCATTCCTTTTGTTATAAAATCTTGGAGTTAACAGTCCAATAAATCTTTGTAAAGCTCTTTTTGACTCAATCAACCAATAAGGATCGGCAAAGAATACAAGATCATTACATTTATTGTCTTCTATTTCTTTCAACAGCTCCACAAACTGGCAATAATTCATAATATTTGCAAGTATATACTGAGCAAATTTTTAAACAGCTTTATTGAGATTTAATATACATACCATACAATATGCCAAAGGATACAATTTAATGGTTTTTAGTATATTGACAGAGTTGTACAAATATCACCGTAATCAATTTTAGAGCATTTACCACTCCAGAGAAACCAGTACTCATTAGCAGTCACTTTCCCTTTTTCCCCATCACCCCACCCCCAGCTCTAGACAACTACTAATCTACTTTGTGTCCCTATAGATTTTCCTATTCTGGATATATTATTCATATGGAATTATGTAATATGTAGTCTTTTGTGACTGGCTGCTTTCGCTTAGCATAATGTTTTCAAGGTTTTATCCATACTGTAGCATATATTAGTACTTTATTCCTTTTTACTACTGAATGACATTTCATTGTAAGGATATATACCACATTTTATTTATCCATTCATCAATTGCTGCACATTTGGGTTGTTTCTGACTATTATAAATAATGCTGCTATGAACATTTGTATACAAGTTTTCGTGGGGATGTATGTTTTAATTTCTTTTGTGTATACCTAAGAGTGGAGTTGCTGGCTTGTATGGTAATTCTATGTTTATCCATTTGAGGCACTGCCAGAGTATATTCCAAAGGGCTACATCATTTTAAGTTTCTACCAGCAATAAAAGGGTTCCAATTTTTCCTCATCCTTTCCAATACTTGTTATAATCTGTCTTCTTAATTATAGCCACCCTAGTGAATATGAAGGTATTGTCTTATCTTGGTTTTGATGCATTTCCCTAATGGCTAATGATGATGAACATCTTTTCATATGCTTATGGATCATTTGCATATCTTTGAAGAAATGTCTATTCAGATCATTTGGTATTTTTAATTGAGTTATTTGGCTTTTAATTATTGGTGTAAGAGTTCTTTACATACTCTAGATACAAGCCCCTTATTAGATATATGATTTGAAAATATTTTATCATTCTATGGGTTGTCTTTTCACATGCTCGATGGTATTATTTGAAGCACAAAAGTTTTTAATTGATGAAGTCCAAACTCTGTTTTTTCTTTGTTTGCTTGTGCTTTGAGTGTCATATCTAAGAAACTGTTACATAATATAAGTTCATGAAGATTTATGTTTATGTTTTCTCCTAAGAGTTTAGCTCCTACATTTAGCTCTTTGATGCATTTTGAGTTCACTTTTGTGCATGGTGTGATGTAGAGGTTCACCTTCATTCCTTTGCATCTGGATATCCAATTGTCCCAGCAACAATTGTTGAAAAGACTGTCCTTTCCCCCACTGGGTTGTCTTGGTACCCTTGTTAAAAATCAATTGACCATAAATGTATGAGTTTATTTATGGACTTTCAATTCTATTCCATTGATCTATATGTCTACCTTTATGCCAGTACAACATTATCTTGATTACTATAACTTTGTAATAAATTTTGAGATTGGGATGTGTAAGTTCTCCAATTTTGTTTTTTTTCAAGATTATTTGGTTATTCTGGGTCCCTTACATTTCCATATGAATTTTAGGATCAGTTTGTCAATTTCTGCCCAAAAAAAACTGGCTGGAATTTGGATAGATATTGCAGTGAATCTATAGATCAATTTGGAGAATATTTCCATGTTACTTATACTGAGACTTCGAATCCATGAATATGAGCTGTCTTTCCATTTGTTTAGGTCTTCTTTAATTTCTTTCCACAATATTTTGCAGTTTTTAGAGTATAAGCTTTGCATTTCTTTTGTTAAATTTATTCTTAAAATGTTCAAATTATTTTTCATATCGTGTTAGGTTCCTATGCTGCTTTTACAAATTATAATAAACTTTGTGGCTTAAAACAACAGAAATTCATTCTGTCACTGTTCTGGAGGCCAGAAGTCCAAAATCAGTTTCATTGGTCTGAAATCAAGGTGTCAGCAGAGCCACACTCCCTCTGGAGTTTCTAGGGGAGAATTTGTTCCTTGCCTCTTCCAAGCTGGTGGCTGTCTGTGTTCCTTGACTTGTGGCCATGTCACTCCAATCTCTGCCTCCTTGGTCACATTGCCTCCTGTTCTATATTGTCAAATCTTCTCTGCCTCTTTTTTATAAGGAGGCTTGTGATTGGATTTAAGGCCCACCTGGATAATCCAGAATAATCCCCCACTTTAAATGCCTTAATTCAATCACACCTGCAAAGACACCCCCTCCCTTTTTTTAAATAAGGTAACATTTACAGGTTCTAAGGATTAGGATCTGGTATCTTTAAATGGCCATTATTCAGCCTACTATAAATCCTATTGTAAATGGAATTGTATTTTAATTTCATTTTTTGATTGTTCATTGCTGGTGTATCAAAATCCACTTGATTTTTGTATATTGTATTTTGTACCATGCAACTTTGCTGA